GGGGCGGGGGGGGCTGCCTTTGTCAGTGGCTGCTAGAATGCCCGATCGAAAAGGCCGTGCGTTTCCTTTTTCGACCGATCCCCAGACCCAGCACACCCTCAAATACACCATGCCAGAGGGGGAACAACCCTCCGCGCTGGGCGAGTCTCCCCCCCCCGAGTGTGCCCGGACACCCCGGGGATTGAGGGCGCACTCGGAGCCGGCGCATGGGGGCGCCAAAATAAAAACCCCAGTCACATGGTCAGAAGTACCGCTGCTCGTTTAGCTCAGTGGTAGAGCGCCAGTCTAGTAAACTGGAGGTCGGGTGTTCGATCCACCCAATGAGCATTTTCCTTTTGGGCATGGTCCCATGAAAAAGAGACCGGCCGTCCGGATCGGGGGGCGGGGGGGGGGGGGGGCCATATCCTCCACCTGCTCCAGGGCGCATTCTGCCCAGCTTTTTTTTCTTTGCCCATCGCCAGATCTGCCGCTGCCTGCCAGGCATGCGGTGCCCCGGGCCTCGGGGCGTGGGAGGATTGCTCGCTTGGCTCCGGGGGAGGGGCGGAGCCGGGGCCGGGCGGTGGCGCGGGTGCAGTGCCGACGCGGCTCCTGCTCAGCCCCGAGGCGGGTCGGGCCACCCCTCTCGGCGTCCGACCGGCGTGCCGGCGTCACTTGCGGAGAGTATCAGAGTCTAGTGTATTTCCCGCCCCCCCAGAGCCAGGGCCGCATGGCCCCAAGGGCAGACAAGGGGGGGGGGGGGGGGCGCGAATCGGGCGACATGCGGGACACCTGTTGTTGTGCTGGACCTCGCCCGCACCGGCGAAGGGTCCCCCCTTCGAGATGCTCGCACATACGTACGCGCGCGCGCGCGCGCGCACACACCCACACACACAGAGGCACAGCTCCGCACCTTGTCCCGGCCATGCGACTCTAGAGGTGTGCACGCAGCGACAGCTCCATGGACACCTTCTGCCGGAAGGAGGATCCCAGTGGCCGGGCGTGGGGATTTGTGTCCCATGCCATGGTGACCAAATCGGCAAGGGGCCCGGAGAAATCCACCGCGGGCCGATCTCCCACCCGGAGGTTCAAGGCAATCTGCTTGAAGGGACAGCCTAAATGCCATGGCCCGGGCCGAGGACGATCATGCACCATCACCACCAAACATGCACACATGTGTCAGAGACACCAGTCTGCGGGCTGTTCCGCCAACAGGCGCTGCCACCGCCCCCCACCAGGGAGCATTCGTGTGGGCGCACCTTTCCAGGGGACGCTGCGCGTGAGGCACTCCCAGAGCATGATCGCCGCACTGTAGATGTCGGCCGGCAGCAGGTATTCCTTCTCGATGGCACGCGACCCCTCGAAGGCCAGCATGACCTCCGGCGCGGCATAGCGCACGGTCAGGGCATTCAGCTCGGGCGCCTGGTTGACCAGCACCGACGAACGGTCCTGGCTGAGACTTTGACTGGTGCCCAGGTCCCCGAGCGCCGCATACCATCCGCCGCCGGGGGCCTGTTTGACAAAGACATTGCCCGGCTTGAGGTCACGATGGGCGACCCCCTGCGCATGCATGATCTCCAGGCCGGATGCTGTGTGGTGGCCGCCGCCGCACCGCCGATACACACACGCGCACGCGCACACGCGCAAACAAACACCAATGGCGAGGGGGTCAGAGCGCTGGGTGCGAGACAGCCCCTTGCGAAAGGCCCACCCCGGGACCGGGCGTACCCCATTGCTCGATCAAATGCAGCACCGTCTCCTGGGACAGCTCCAAGTCCGAATGGAGAATGGTCGCCAGATCCGTGTCGAAGCGTTCCATCACCAGAGCCGGCGGCTCCTCCGAATAGCCATACAATTGGACGATGTTCGGGCAATCACGGAAAAGCCTGGGCACCCGCGCCATCCGTCAGCCAAGGGCGCCGGCCCGGCCGTCGGGCCCGAAAAGAAGAGCACAGCACTTCCCCGAAAGGGGAGTTCCCAACCCCCCCCCCCACCAGACAGACATGAGCAAAAGACCGCGACCAGGACCGACACCGCGCAGGAGCTCCGCCGGAAGACGCACCACATCAGAGCCACTTCGCTCTGGAAAAGGGCCCTCATAACCGGCGTCATCTTGTCGGCTGGCGATCAGGCATCGGTGGCATATGGCCGGCGGGTGGCGTGGATTCGGTCAGCATGAGGATGGTGGCTGCGAATGAGATGCAAAGGGAAAGGCAATCGGCCCCCCTGCGCCCCCACACTCCACCGCATCGCACCCTTCAGGATCTTGATGGCCACGGTGTCCGGGCAGCCAAGGCGCTCGGAGATCCCGGCCCCGATGGCTCGTGCGGCAAAGACCCGCGCCTGGCCGCCGACTCCCAGGTTCCCATCGGGGAGGGGCAGAAAGTCGGCCTCGAGATGGACCAAAATCACCCCCGGCAGCGAGAGCTCCACGATGGTGTTGAGCACCGTGCCATCTGGCCATGCGGGAAAGGTGGGCGAGCGGTTAGCGGAGCATCCACTTGCAGCAAGTGACAAGGCACTTCGGGGCGGGAAAGGCAGGCAGCCAGACGCCGAAGGCGTCAGCTGCTCCGCCAAGCATGGCTGCCGCGCGCGCGCACCCTCATCATAATCCTGCCTCACAGTGGAAATATGCACCCCCGGGGGCAAGACGCGTTAGCGCGGGAGAAAAGCAGACGGTCGATCGACCAACATGCACTCCATATACCCGCGCCCCCCCCCCCCCCCTCAAGCCGCCGGCCCTGTTCGCGGTCCATGAATGGCGCACGTCATGCTTGGCATACGGCCGGCGGGCTCGCCGCAGCCGGAGTAGCAGCAAGAGCAGGGCCGCCAAAAGGATGAGCAAGAGCAAAACCCCAAGCCCGATGCCCAGGCCGATCGCTTGATACATAGAATCCGAGCAGTCGAATGGGCGCGCGCCAGCCGGAGGGACCGGAACCGAGTTAGCAGGCAATCGGGCCGCATGTTCGGGCAGTCGGACGTACCAAGCTTCCGGCGCATGCCCGGGCTGGCCGTGCATCCATCGGCGCCCGGGCCCGAGCAGGACCCGGAGCACTGGGCATGGCAGGGCACACACATGGGCCGAGGTGCCTCGTGGTCCGGGAAGTAGCCCGCCTCCGGGCACTTGGGCACACACTCCGAGGACCGGAGAAGCAAGCGCCCCGAGTGGCAGATGTCGCACGTTTTCACCCTCGGACAGTGGATCGAGCCGTGCGGGTCGATCGTGCAGCCCGACCCCGGGTCCGACTCGTCGGCGGTGCACCGCTCGCAGCCATCCGGGCATGCCAGGCACACGGGGTCCGGCCCGGCCAGCATGGCATAGCCCACACCCGGGCACTGGGAGAGGCAGATGCCCGTCTCGACCGACAAATACCCCTCGGAGCAGCTGGTGCACATGTCGGCCGCCCCGTGGCAGGTCTTGCACTTGCCGGTGCACGCCTGGCAGGCATTGGCCTCCGGGTGGAGGAACTCCCCCGGCGGGCAGGCCTCCAAGCACCGACCGGCCGACAGGAAGAGCCCCTGCTCGCAGGACTGGCACTCGGCCGCGCAGTCGGCCTTCGCCGAGGCACATGTGGCACAGCCCGGGGGGCAGGGCCGGCACTGGGCGTCCATCGAACATGCCAGCCACCCCTCCGGGCAGCCGGGCTCACAGAGGCCACTCGGCCCGAGGAAGGCCTCCCCCGGCCGGCAGCCGGTGCATCCCTCGGCCCGGTCGCATGTGTGGCATGCTGGCAGGCAGCGAGCGCATTCCGACTCATGGTCATACCACCCGGTCGGGCAGGCCGCGAGGCACATGCCATCCTTCAGCACCCGGCCCACCGGGCAGCCGGTACAATCGTCGATCTGCGGCCCGGAGCAGGCGGCACAGTTGGCGCCGCAGGGCTGGCACTCCTGGCCCGCCTGGAAGGTGCCACCCGGGCACCTGTCGTAGCAGTGGTTTTCGTGCAGCAGCGGCAAGGCCCCCGGGCAGGAGGTGCAATTCCCCGGGTTCGGCCCGTAGCAGGTGCCACAGGAAGCGTGGCAAGTGGAGCACACGTTGCCCTGGTCGGCGGACTCGGCCGGACATGTACCGACACAGCCGGCCCGGAACAGCTTCCAGCCATGCTTGCAGGTGGTGCATGTGTCCACCGATTCCGGGCAGGCGGCACACTCGCCCTCGCACTGGGTACAGGTGTCATCCAGCCGCTTGGAGCCCAGGCCGCATTCGGTGACGCAACTCAGCCGCTGGGAGGGCCCCGAAAGAAGGGCCAGCATGTCGGCACTGCACTCCAGGCAGTCGGTCGACAGGACCCCGGTGCAGGAGCGGCAGGATTTGTGGCAGGCCTTGCACTGGTTGCCCTCGGCCACGTGTGTGCTGGCGCATGCCTGCACACACTCGCCGGCCTGCAGCAGGCCGCTGTTGCAGCGCCAGCAGTCCCGGTCGGTCGGGCCGTTGCACGTGGCACACGCCTCGTGGCAGGGGACGCACGCCGCGCCGGCGGCCTCGCGATACTGGCCCTCCGGGCAGGGGGACACGCAAAAGCCCCCCGGCCCGCTGGCTGCCTGGAATTCCAGCCCCTCCTCGCAGAGGGTGCAGTGCTCGGCACCCGGCCCGACGCACTCGACACAGGACACGTCGCATGGCTGGCACGATTCGCCGTTGGAGTGGCTGCCAGCCGGGCATGTGCTCGTGCATGTACCCTCGCTCGTCAGCAGCAGGGGCTCCATGCAGGCCATGCACACGTCCGCCCGGGTGCAGGAAGCACAGCCGAGCGGGCATTCGACACAGGTGCCGGGGCGATTGCCGGCCGGCGCCGCCTCGGCCCACCGGTACCCGGTGGCACACACCTGGCAAGCCGCCGGCCCGGGCCCGGCACACAGGGCACATGCCTCGGCACAGGGGGTGCACCGGTCGGCGCCAGCATACTCGCCCACGGCGCAGGCAGTGCCGCACAGCGAGGCCATGCCGGGATCGGACCGGAGGAAAACCATCCCCGGCCGGCAGTCCAAGCAGCTGCTGCCATCTTGGCACGACGCGCAGGAAGCATCGCACTCGGCGCACATCGAGCCAGCGAGGAAGAACCGCGGGACACAGGCAGAGCAGGCATCGGCCCCGGAGCAGGCGGTACAACCGGCCGGGCAGCTTCGGCATTGGCGATCGACTCCATCCGGCCACGTCCCACCCGGACAGGCTTCCAAGCAGAGCCCTTGGTGCAGGAAGCGCGGCGTGCTGCACGCCACGCACGCAGCGGAATCCCTCGGGACCATGCACTCGGCACAGGTGTCGTGGCAGGGCTCGCAGGCCTTCAGCCCGTTCGACCCCTCGACCAAGGCCATCTGCGGCATGCACTTCGTGCAGACAAATGGCCCGGCCGTTTGGCCGGCCAGGCCGCACTCCAGACAGGCATCCTGGCAGGTGCACTCGCCGGTGGGGCTCGACTTCAGGCCCTCCGGGCAGTCGTCCAGGCAGACCCCCGGCTGGCTGGCCAGCCAAGTGCGACATGCGGTGCAATTGCCACGGCCGGGCCCGGAGCACTCCCGGCAAAGCCCATCACACGGATCGCATGCCGGGGGGAAGGTCCCGGCCGGGCACTCGACCGCGAGGGCGGCGCGCGTCAGGCCGACATCCTCGGCAAACAGCAGCACATCCAGGGATGCGGGTGCATTCTGCTGGACAGCATACTCCCGCCGACCGGAGGGGGGCCGGAGTGTGGCCCCGCCGGCAAGTCCGGGCGGGATGTAATTCACGGCCGCCAGCCACAGGCCCGTGCTGCCTGGCAGGGGGGCCGGCAGGGACGTGAAGTGCGCCGGCAGGAAGGCACATGGGCCGGTGGGTGCCGAGCACCGGAAGAGCGCCACGCCGAGGAACTCCCTCGCCAGGAGCAGCAGTGCGCTGGGATATTCCCAGCCCATGGCCGCCGAAAGGTCCAATGCCTGGAAGCGCACGCGGCCGGCGGATTCCGACACGGAGCCCAGCGACGCGGGGAGCTGCCCGAGGGCCTGCTCGGCCGGGGCCAGCCCCACCGACCGGCCGGAGGGGACCACATCCCCCGGCACGCGCCGGACCGTCCAGATGTCATTCGGCCAGTGGATGAGCACCAATTCCGGCACCGTGCCCGGTGCGTCGGGAAACAGCGGCATCATGATCGGCAGGAGCTCCCTCTCGTTCGGCATCCCGGCCAGGAGCCGCCCGTGCAGGGGCTTGCTCAGGGCGGCATCCGTCAGATAGCCCACCGGCAGTGCGGTGGCCGGCCAGGCATGGCCGGACGCCAGGAGCCAGGTGTCCAGGTGCGACCGAGCCGCCGGGGGCCCGCCGGCCGGGGGATCCGCCAAATGGACCACATGGGCCAGCCCGGCGATGTGGATCGTGTTGATTTCGTCGCCCGTCAGATCGGCCGTATAGATGTCAATGGCTTGGTCGTCCAGCTCGCGGGCGATCCGCCTCGGGCCCAAGCTCCAGAGGCGCCGGCAGCCCTCGCGGAAGTTGGGCATCTGCGTGGGGGCCGTGCACGGCCCCGTCGGAGGACTCCCCGGGCAGGAGGTCCAAAAGATGCCGGCAGTCCCGTCTCCGAAGCAGAAGACATGCCCGAAAGTCACCTTCGAGCTGCCGACAAAGGGGCCCATTTCCATGAACGAGACAACCTGCTTGGTCAGGGTCCAGGGAAGGGGCGCCACCTCCAGCAGGGGCGGGTTGTTGGACTGGCCAATGTGGCTCTTGGGCATGAGGTACACCCGGCGGGTGGCATTGGCGCGGACAAACACCAGCAGGTTGGCCGCATGCCCCGGGGGGGCCCCGGCCGACGGGGCGATCGGGGCCCCGGCCGAATCGAGCGACAGGCTCGTCTCGCCGATGGCCGTCACTTGGGCTCCGGTCGGCAAACCGGCCACCAGCTCCGGCTGCGGCTGGGCCAGAGCCATGGTCGGCAGGGGCTTCTCCTGGGGCTGGCACACGCCAGCCACAGCCTGGTAGCCTGGCGAGCAGGCTGTCACGCAGATGACCCGGTCGCTGATGGGGTCCGGCTGCGGCATGTAGCCACTTTGGCAAACCAGGCAGTGGAGGGCATTGCATGTGAGGCAGTTGGCGGCCAGGCACTTCCGACAAGTGTGGCCCGGACTGGCGAAGGGCGCCTCGCCTATCGGCCCCAGGAGCGCGCCGAGGCATGGGGAGGGGGGTGTTTTTTTTTTCACCGGGCAGGGGGATGTCCGAGGCACGGCGGCCGGTGGTCAGTCGCGAAGAAAGGCAAGCAGGATGCGGGGGCATGCTTCCGGGCGGATCCCTCGAGGGGTACATACCGGACGGCCGGTCCAGGTACCAGCCGGCCGGGCAGCCGGCGCACATCTGATCCGGCGATACGGCCGGCGACTCGGCGCGGTCGTCGGCACAGCGCCAGGCACGCGTCGAGGCCGAGGTCCCGGTCGGGCTGTCGCACATGATGCTGGGATCACTGTGGCAGCCAAAGGTCTCGGAATCAAAGAGAGCCTGGCGGTCGGCATCCACCAGGGCCCATTGCCCCGAGGGTAGGACCCCGCTGCGGAGACGGATCATCTCCATGCCCTGGGTGCCGGGGACGCCAGGAGGCAAGGTCACCGGGCGCCAGGTTGCCCCGGCCACCGGGTGGACATCCACCCGCCAGAGGGCCCCCCCGGCGGGGGCGGCATAGTAGAAGTAGGGCACCAAGTCTCCGGTGGTGGTGGCCAGCGGCATGAGAAAGCGCCCCTCCAAAGGCGTGCCCGGGGGAATGTCAGTGGCGAGTGTGGCGGCCGCCGGTGCCGAGCCCCCGTGACAGGGCATCATCCGAATCCCGCCGTTCGGGTCGATGACCACCAGGTCCGCGGCATCCGGGCAGTCGCTGGCCGACGTCACCAGCCGGGTGGCAAATGCCTGGACAAAGGCCCCGACCGGGGAGGCCGACGAAATGCTGGCACTGGAGTCGGATGTCACAAGCACGCGATATGCCTGCTGGGCCCAGAGCAGATAGAACACCCTTCCCGGGCCCGGAACCCCGAGCACCGGCTCGCTCGTCGGCGCGGGCGCATTGCTCAGCGGGATGCTGCTGAGGCTGGTGTCTTCCAAGCGCGACAGGAAGACCGTGCGTACACCGCCAGCCTGCACACGAGCACCCAGGATGAAGGCCTTTTTCGTTGCAATCCCGATTGCCGCCAGGACTTCGGCCGGGGGGCTGGGGAAATTGCTGACCGAGCTCGATTGGAAGAAGGCAGCCCACGTTTGGGTGTGCTGGATGAGGACGGGGAATTGCGTTTCCGAGGGGATAACCAGGACCGGGGTATTGCAGCTTGCCGCCAGGCGGGGACAGTATGCCGAGTGCGAGACCGAGGCCAGGGAAAACAGTCTTCCCCATCGGTTGTCGGCCTCCCAGGCCGAGGAGCTGCCCTGCTTGTAAAAGTCCCACCGGAGCTCAGTTGTCCGGACTCCGGTCATCGAGGGGGCATCCAGCGGGGTGTAGAAGACACTTTCCAGGCTCGCATCATGGACGGAGTAGGGGGCTTGGTGGAGGAAGACCCGCTCTTGCGCGGCGGCCCTTGGAAGCAAGCCGCCCAGGGCCGACAGAAGTAGCAGCACCGGCAGCACCGACAACATCCTGGCACCGGCCGTCGGCTTTCTGGGGCAGCACCAGCGTTCAGGGCGTCGGCCGGTGGTCTCCGTCGGAGGGGGCGGCCGGTGTGTGTGTGTGTGTGTCTATGGAAGAGCCAGCGAAAGAGGGCCGGACGGCTGGGGCGAGACAAAAAAGACGCTCAGAAGGACAGACGAGGGAGGCGCCGGGGCGGGGGGGGGGGGCAGAGGTGATGGACTGGACCAGGCCCGGCCACACCTTGTGGTCCTTTCAAGCGGATCGCCAGCATCTTGCATGAGACCGAACAGGGATGGCCCTCCTGGCAGACTTGGGCGTTGCGCGCCTCCCACACCGGCTCGAAGCGCCTCCTCCCCTCTGGCGGGGCCACCGGGAGCACGCTCCCCGGCTCGCGGCCCAAGACTACTGCCCCTGGGAAGCAAAAGAGGAACCATTCCCTGGAGCAAGGGAGGGCTCAGGCGCCCGTCGTACACGGGTACACACACACACACACACATGGAGCCACACTGAGACTTCGAGGGGCGAGGTAACCATCAAAGACCCTCAAGCAGCGAGAGGGGGCAAGGCCGAGGGGGTGTTTCGACAAGCAGACGCGAAGCGCGAGACTGTCACGCGATGTGACCCACTGGCGGGAGATCCTTCAGCTGGATGTCTCGTTTGGCAGACCATTGGCCAGATCCGAGGTCAGGATCTTCGAGCCGCAGGCTGCAGGAGCGATATAGCACCAGGACAAGCGGCGGCGTGGAGGCCAACACCGCTCAAGCCCTCCCCTCACAGGGGGGGAAGGAGGAGGGGACACACGACATGGACCCCGTCCGGGAAAGGATGGGACAGTCTCACCCGCACACACACACACACTGTCCCAACCCGTGCCCGCCGCCCGAGGGACGAGTTCCTGGCGGCTGTGGTCCGGGCAGGACCGTTACGAGAGGGCCAGATGCCCCATGGCAACCCTTTGGGCCTGCGGGCCAGGAGGGCGTGCTCGCCTCGCTCGCGAGCATGTCATTTCCCACCCTGAGGGACGCCCCCCGGCCACGGGCGGCAAAGGCGTACACCGGGAGGCGGCAGGGAAGGGCGGCCTCTTCGCGAAGAGGGCCGCCACTGCCAGCGACACCATTCAACGAGTCGGGATCGCCACCAGGGCAGCAACAGGCGCCCGGGGAAGATCGCGCCAGTCGCTCAGCCGATTTCCGCCGTCGTCTTTCCCATGCGGGTGTCGGGGTCGGGATGTCCCCTCCCTGGGCGGCCGGACGCAGCCGCCTGCCCGTGCCCTTTCGGAATGGCCGGGGGGCCGCCCCACGCTCCGGACGTCGGCAAGTGTCGGGCCTCGCCCGCGGCGACCCCCGCCGCCCGACCAATGGGCACGCCCCATCCCGGCCAAGGGCCAAAAGCGCCGGACCCTCGGAGAGTCCTTGCGCCAGGCGGACCCGAGCTTGCGACCCCTCCCTCTCCAAGACCCGGGCCCGAGGCTGCAGGTCAGCAGGCGTGCAGCTCCCCGGGGCCCGATGACCCTGCGCGCGGGCACCAGGAAGCAAATACATGGATGGTGGGGGATTTTTTTTTTTTTTTGGGCCTCGGCCATCGGGGGGGTGGGCCCGGAAAGAAAAAAAACCCCACCGGCGACATGCCCTGCCAGGCTGGGGCCGAGCATGTCGGGCCTTGAAGGCGGCTGCCGTGGCCGAAGTGGTCCGCCACATGCGGCCGCCCGAAGACAGGCCGGCACTGTTTTGAGCACAATATCGAGCCTGGGGAGGCGGCTCCTCGCGGCGTGGTCGCGCTCGGGGGGTTCGTTTCACGGCCCGGGCGCCGAAGCGGGGAGGATGGAAAAATGCCAATGCAGATCCCCACCAACTTACCCTCAAGCACGCATGGTCCCCGGGATGGGAGGCCGGCCGACGCCCAGGCCCGACGCACGTTGCTAGCAGCGAGATGAGAACCAGACGAAGTTCATCACAATCAGGCCCATGCGCCGGGACGCATGTTCGCCTTTCCTCAGCCCCTCCACGCGGTCCCGCGCCGGCGCCGGCCACACTGCGCCGCACTGCATCACAGGCAAACCGGGAAAAGGCGCCCACGCCAACCTCCGCCGGGGAAGTTGCGCAGGCCTCGGGAGACCAGCCAGGCAGAGGAACTAATTGCCACCCAGCAGGGCGACAAGCTTGGGACCCGGTTGTCCGGGGAGATGCCGGACAATCCGGCCCCGAGCACACCACAGGCACCATCGCCGGGGGGAGGTGCCGCTCGCCCCCCCCCCCCCCCCCCCGGTCGACCGCGGTTGTTTTTCTGTTTTTACCCCCACCCCCCCCCATGCGGACTGGACGGCGGAGCCGGACGAGAGAGAGAGAGAAAGAGGTCTTTTCACATTGCGAATCCCCCGCCCCGAGATGGCGCGGGAGAGACACACAGGGCGCGAGAGCGCCCGGGCTAGACACGGGCAGCCGGCCAGCGAGGGATCGTGGGCGCAACGCGATCTGCTCCCGACGAATGGGTCCCAACTATGTCGTCCACATGATTCCTCTCGAGTCGTCGTGATCCGGCCATCATGGTCAGCGGGCGCTCGTCGGGGATCGGGGCGGCGGGTGTGAGCTTGAACGGTGCCCAGGGGGGGGGAGGGGCAAAATCACTCGGCCTCACCGCGACAGACCTTCCGGCGGCGAGGCGTCTCCGGGGAATGCCCGGCAGGCAGGATGCATTCGATGTGCGTGTGGGTGTGTTTTTTTTTCCCCCCCAGCTGAACGAGGGCAGTCCCAATGAGAGCAGCATCAAAAGATCGGGCATGCCACAGCGGGCGGCAACGTGCCGGTGTTCCTGGGTCGCTGCACCCACACCCCCACATGGACAATGCACCGAAATAGATCGATCGACCACTGTCAGCCACCACTGGGACATCGCCCTGGGTCTGGGTTGGCTTGTGTGTGGGGGGGTGTCGGTCGGCCAATTGTCGACGGGTCATGCCCATTCCTTCGGGTGCCTCGTGCTGTGCCTCCCTTCTCGGCTGTGTTCCGGGATGATGAGCACGAGAATAGTCTCCGGACGACATGATGCCCGTGCACTCCCACATGTCCCAGTCTGTCGTGCTCGGTGGGGCGGCACGTTTCACCGGGTACCGTGCCTCCGGCGTGGTCGGGCCAGTCTCGGTCGGCCGGTGCCGTGGCCGGGCATCGGAAGAGCGAGTGCGGTGGTGCCCGACCAGCGGCCACAGGAGGACGTGCTCGAGCCCGGCCAGGGGCAGGTGCCGGTCGGCGAGAATGAGGGCTCGACGCCGCCCCTGGGACTGCGCCACTCGGGCCATAACTGGCCACCCTATCGGGGGGGGGAGGGGGCCGAGCCGCACGCCCGCACACGCTGGCAAGTGGAGTGCTCGAGTGCCATCTCCCTCGGCGGGGGATGCCGTGCTCAGCCACGCAAAAAGACACACCGCGTGCGCCCGGCCCACTGACTCTGGAGGAGATCGGTCCAGCTCCTCCCTCCCCTGCACCGTGCGCCGGCCCGGGCCCGCCCCCCCGCTCCCCCGGCACGGCAGGAGTCGAAATAAAGCCCGTCGTCGCGGCCAACAAAAGAGGTACATGGAGGCGGAGGGTATCGATCCCCCTGCCTGCCGCATGCTAAGCGGCCGCTCTACCATTTGAGCTACGCCCCCGAATACATCGAGCCTCCCGGCCACAGGGAAATATGATATTTTGCCCCTGCCACCCGGCCGAGGGGCGGCACGCTGCACAAGGCCGCCAACCGACAAAAACATGACGGACATACGGTGGGTCACCTTCGAAGACTCCCATATAGTCTAGGTGGTTAGGATACGTGGCTCTCACCCACGAGACCCGGGTTCGAGTCCCGGTATGGGAATTACTTTTTTGCACCCCGTGTCACATTTGCCGACGACAACCAAAAGAGAAGCCCACTGTGGGGCTCGAACCCACGACCCTGGGATTAAGAGTCCCATGCTCTACCAACTGAGCTAAACAGGCTTGCGTACTCGTGCGGGGATCTCGCTCTTTTGTTGTCGGGCTTCTCCGTCCCGCCTGGGCGGGCCTCCGGGCCGGGCAGCCGCCGCGGGGGCCATCCGCCCGGACGATGTTGCGTGTTCCCCGAGCCACTTTCCCGTCTGCATGGCCGACCGCGAGGGCGCCCCCTCCTCGCGGAGTCCACACCCACAAGACCCGCCACGCCCGGCAGGTGCCTCTGCCCATCGCAGCGGAGAACCCAGCCCACCCTTTGCTCCTCCGGCCCCTGATGCCACGCCCTGTGGGGGCGGCTCCCCGGTCCCCCGGGCCCCGGGCATGTCTGGATCTCGCACGGACACCCGGCGCGTGGGCGGCCCACGCGCCTGTCCCCGGCTCCCTGCACGGACAAGCCCATGGCATGGGTGTTCCTTGCGCCGGAGGCGCGTCCGCACATTGGGACGCCGCGGAATTCCGGGCCACTGGCTATGGTATTTGTGTGGGGGTCTTTTCCGGGGGCCACTTCGCGCCGCCGATGGATGTCGACGGATGTCGATTTCCCCGCCGGCACAGGTCCGGGGCTACATGGCGGCCTGTATGGCACAGGACGCCGCGCGGCCCTTTTGCAGGCATTAGGCCCAGCTCGCTGCCCTTCCTCCGGCCCGGGCCCCTCCCCTTCGGAATGTGCAAGGCCTTTCACTTCCTGGCAAAGGACCCTCTTTCCCCTGTGCCCCGTCCGGCCGTCGTCCATTCTCTCGGCGCCAAGTGTCAATCTGGCACACCCTCCACCCGGCACCCACTGGCCCCAATGGCCAGGGGGCCCGGCACACCGAGCCCGCTCTCCCGGTGCCGGCAGCCAGTAGAGCCAGAAATGGCAGCCGGCTCGACCCTGCGACCAAGCGAATCCCCTCGCCGGATGGGTCGGGCCTTCGGAGTGCGCGCCCACGGGCAAGCGGCCTGCCCTGTCGGCGAAGCAGCTCGTCCTCTTGGTGGCCTCCGGGACGGACCTGCCCCCAGGAAAACCACGGCACAAGGAGCACTCAAAATGCCCCGCACAGCGGGGACTCCTCCTGGCTGCTGCCCTCCCCCGCCAAAGGGGCAGGCTCGCCATCCCGCCGGACGATGCTCGGCGCCCCTTCGCCAAAGATCTCCGATCCCCCGGGCCGCGGACGGGGGCCATGGCACGCCAGCGCCCGGAGCCCGCATCTGGGGCCCGGTCGAAATCACTGCACCTTGAAACCGGCCGCAAGGAAGCCACACGGCCCTTCCACCACCGAAAGACGGCTCGGGGTCGGAACACGCAGGAACCCTGTTTCCGCCCCACCCGGCGGGCCACCGCCCGCTCAAGCGGCACTGTCAGGGGGCGTCCCCTCCCCTGTCGCGGGCAAACGTCGAGCGAACTGCCCCACGCGAGCCACGCCCGCTGGTGGCCTCCATGTTGGCGCAACAACCCCTCAACCGCCCACGACCCGCAGCAGCGTCGCAGCACGGCTCCGCTGAGGGGAGATGCTGGGGTGCGGCGCCCGCCCCGGCGTCCGGCCCTTGGGGCATGCCCGCCTGGGCATCCCGCCGAGGGTGTCCAACTCGCGGCGGCCTCGGGCGAGTTGCCCCCTCCCCCGGGAGCAGGCCGGCTTGGCGGGTCTCGCCAGCGCGATGGTCCAACAACGAAGGCAAGGCACAACATGTAGGCGCGCGGCCTCCGGACGAGGAGTGTACAGCGTCGATGGTTTAGTGGTAGAATTGCCGCCTGCCACGCGGTAGACCCGGGTTCGATTCCCGGTCGACGCACACTCTCCGTTCTTTTTGGCCTTCCCCCTGGGTCCATCCGGCCGTATTTTTTTCCATCAATAATCACCCGCGGCCTGGCCAGGCGACGACAGGGCGCGAGGCGGGCCGTTTGGCAGAAGGCCGCCCGAGAGCCGGCCCCGGCGGCGGCGGCGGCGGCGGCGGCGGGACATCTTGTGTCAACCAGCGAGACACGCCGCGGGATTGCCCTCCTGACGCGCGTGCCGGGCCCCCGTCTCCCCTCCTCCTGCCGAAAAAAAGGCGCCCCATCACACCGGCCAAATCTCCCGCAGAGGGACGCCGCCCGCCCCCTCCCCGCAAGACAACACGGCAGCCAGGACAGGCAAAACGCTCAAAAGGAATGGCCCCAGCCAGGATCGAACTGACGACCTTCGCGTTATTAGCACGACGCTCTAACCAACTGAGCTATGGGGCCTTGACGTAGGGCCGCCCATTCGGGCTATTTGACGAAGAAGCTGCCCTTTGCCCGGGAGACCATCGGGCCTGGCGAAGCGACAACCGGCGTAAGCTTCGGGTCCGGCACTCAGGGCATCAAAAGGGGACTTTGCCACAGCCAACAGCGCCGAGCCCCTGCCAATCCCGAGCCCGCAGCGGGATTCAACTGGGTGCCCCCCCCCCCTAGCAGGCGGGGCACGCCTGTCGTTCGCGGCCTTCCCTCGGCCCTGAAGGCCAAACATATGAAGGTGGGGACATTCTCTCTGCACTCAGGCATCTGTGGCCAGCCTCGCCCGGTGGGACCGATGGCGGGGAAAGGGCCGCCGCCGAAGGGCCCGGCCCTGGGCGGGTGCCAGCAAAGAGGGCGTCCAATCTTGCTTCGCGCCATCCGGCATGCCCCCCTCTGCGGTCCTCGGGTCGCGAGTGGTCGCCCTGCGCGCAGGGCACACCCCTCCAGCCTGTGGGGCCATGCAGGACGGCGCCCGAGAAGGCGAACATGCCACCCTGCCCATCCCGGGCGGCCTCCAGTCCGAGCGGAGAGAGGGTCGTGGCCGGAAGGCCGGCCGCCGCGAGGCCCACGAAATGCCCGAAGCGCCTCGGTCCGGACCTCTAACCCAAGGCCATGGACGAGGGGGCCTGGGGATGACCCGGGGTCCTCCACCCCCAGAGGGCCGCCGGCTGGGCAAAAGCAACAGCTTCCAAAGGGAAAGAGGCAGGTCGGCGATCGGCGGGCAGTGACACACAGGCCCACACGAAGCCACAGTCCTCTCCAGGGGAATCACCATCCCCCAAAGTCCCGGGGAGTGGGACCCCAGAAAAGCGGCATCCCTCTCTAGGGGGGCCTGGGAAGGAGCAGCAGGCCCCGGGAGAAGATGACGCACCCAGGCGGCTGTTGGGCATGGCCTCGGTGGCGATCAACACACAGACACACACACACACACACACACACACACACACACACCCCTCTCCGTCCTTGCGGCGGAGATCCTAGGTGCATGATATATTATGGCCAAGTGAGCAAGGGCGACCTCGTGTGGCGCCGAGACGGCACCAGAGGCGGGCGGGGCACAAGGAGGCGGGGTAGGTGAGGCAGAGGCAGGCGGCGCAAACTCCGAGCGGCCCGCCCGGCATGGCATCCGGCGCGCACAATATCAGCGCCGCCGTCAGCCTGCCATGTATCTTGAGGTTGGATGGCCGAGTGGTTAAGGCGCCAGTTTAAGGCACTGGTGGGAAACCGCGTGGGTTCGAGTCCCACTCCAATCATACTTTTTGGCGTCCGCCACTCGAGGGCGCGCCATGCGGCGCCCGCCGACCGCGGCGCAGAAATCCCCCCCGCGAAAAACAGGCCCGGCACACATGGCAGCGCGGGGCATCTCGCCGTTGGAAACACAGAGGCCACCGGCAGCGGCAGCAGGGAGGAAGTGAGACTTTTGATCCGCGGTCTGGCCAACATGCAGGATTTATTTAAATGGTAGATTTTGGCCCATACGCTGTCTGGCTGTTCTCACATTTGTGCCCCAATGCTCGGATTTAACTGAGCCGTGGGCGCCCTTCGGGGAGCATTCCCCGGTGCCATCATGTGCATCGCGTGGGTCTAGTGACACTCACACGTGAATCCTCGTTCGATGGCACACGCTCGCCGGTTCCCGATCGGCCACGCACTTTCACGCCGCATCCGTCGGTCGGGGGGGGGAGGGAGGGAGGGGGGCACGCCGGCGAGGGGGGCAACGCCACCCGGAGGAGCCCAGACGGCCCCGCCTGTGGCAACCGTGCCGGCTCCCGGCGCAGGGGCCATGGGGACCGGGCCCCGAGGCAGGGCGGGGTTGGGCCGCGCTCTCGTTTGCAGGGGCCGCCCTCTGATTGCACCCGGGCATGCTCGCGCGGTGTTCCGGACCGGCCCGGTGCCCCCCCCCCCCCCTCTGGGTACAGGTCGCCGATGGCGTGGCCTGTTTTTTCTTTTTCTTTTCTAGCCCTCGCGCCCCGGGGGCCGGGGGGTGCTCGGCCCTCCGCGCGCGCTTCCCAGGAGGCGAACGGTTGGTTGGGTGCTTTTTTCTTCCTCTTTTTTTCATGCCCGCCCGTCTGTGCTCGCGCGCGCGCGCTGGCACATTCTCGTGGAAGGGGTGTGCCAGCGAATCAGTACACACCTGAGACCCCTCTCCCCCTGCTCCTCGCCTCCCGCTCTCGCCGCGCCGCAACTTCTCCTCGGGGGCCAACTCTTCCCTCTCCTGCGCGCTTGACACACCTGTGCCTCCTCTCATCCAGCTTCCCCCCCCTCCCCCCTTTTCCTCCGTTGTCCCTTCTCCCAACTGGAAAATGCCCCCGCCCCCTGGCTGCCTTTCCCCC